GAGCACATGGACTCAATCTTTCAACCTAACAAAAACTTAGACTCTGAAACCAAATACTATTCTTAGAACAGTATTACAGTAAGCGTCCAAAAAAAGAAAGAAAAAAAAATCACATCTACTCTGAAGTTAAATCAGATGTGTCAACATGTGAAAGCTGCAGCAGAGTGAATTCAACTAAGAATTCTAAATAGATGTCTTATTGAATTGACTAGTCAGTTTAATCAAAATCATCTAAACGTATAACTGCAGTCATACTCCAACTACATACCTGTAAATGTAAAAAATGAGACATATCAAGAGAGCAGGCTATGATAAATAAAAGCCTGTCAATTTTTTAAGTAAAACAATTCTTGCCAAAGAGCAAAAAGGGATCAAAGATGTAACCATAAGCTTTCCTCTCAACTCTACGAAAAATTAATTTGTACCTCTATTTACCCACTTACACATTTTGCACATCATACATCACTATTCTATAACTTAACAAAATCAGACTTTTCAAGAAACCATGTTTCTACACCAAATTATTAATTCTATAGCTATAAAACACTTCATATGAAAATTGAGCACTTACGTGCAACCCACTTTTCCTAAATTAAGATGTGTTTAATTATAGTATCTAAGTATTTCGAGTTTAACAACAGCATTAAGGCCTTCAAGATTAACACATCATATTTTCCCAAAGTTTGTACCAAAAGGACTTGAAAAATATCACTGTAGGCTCGGTGCCCATAGCACAGTGATTATGGCGCCAGCCACATGCACTGAGGCTGGTGGGTTCGAACCCAGCCTGGGCCAGCTAAACAATGGCAACTGCAACAAAAAAAAGCCAGGCGTTATGGCAGGCACCTATAGTCCCAGCTACTTGGAAGGCTGAGGTAAGAGAATCGCTTAAGCCCAAGAGTTTGAGATTGCTGTGAGCTGTAACACAACAGCACTCTACTGAGGGCGACAATATTAAGACTCCTGTCTCAAAAAAAAAAAAAAATCACTGTAGACTTTATCTGACACAAAGTCTGTAACTGACAGCCATAGTTTATGAGATTACTATGTGCGAAATAAATACGTCATCATATTTTGTCCTCACAACAACCCTGAAGAGGGTACCATTATTATCTTCAGTTTACAAATGAGGAAACTGAGATTTAAAGACGCTAAATATTATGTGTCCAAGATCACAGAACTACTAAGTACTAGGAACCTAAATTTGAAACCAGATGCTACCTCCAGAGAGTTCAAACTCTTCACTGCTACTGATTATTTCATAAAATAACACTATTTGGGAAAGTTTTTTTTTTTTGAGACAGAGCCTCAAGCTGTCCCCCTGGGTACAGTGCCTTGACATCACAGCTCACAGCAACCTCCAACTCCTGGGCTCAAGCGAGTCTCCTGCCTCAGCCTCCCAAGTAGCTGGGACCACAGGCACCCACTACAGCGCCCAGCTATTTTCTGGTTGCAGCTGTCGTTGTTTTGGCGGGGCTGGGCTGGATTCAAACCTGTCACCTTAGGTGTATGTGGCTGGCTCCTTAGCCACTTGAGCCACAAGCGCCAAGCCTGGGAAAGAATTCTTATCCAAATAAAAATTAATCATCAAAATAAAAAGTGTAAATTAAAATTTTATTTTGAAACAACCTCTAACTTTGAATCTTCTAAACACACTGGTTCTGAGAACTAACACCCATGGACAATCCAATCCCTACAATAAGCTTAGGGCTTTAAGGCAATAAATAAATAAATACTGTTACCCTCCAATGCTAGGTACTGTGGCTATAAGAGTACATTAAAAAGATGTGAGTTGCCGGGTGCAGGAGCTCATGCCTATAATCCCAGCACTCTGGGAGGCTGAGGCAGGTGGACTGCTTGAGCTCAGGAGTTCAAGACCAGTCTGAGGAAGAGCAAGACCTAATCTCTAAAAGAAGCAACCAGGCATTGTGGTGGGTGCCTGTAGTCCCAGCCACTTGGCAGGTTGAGGCAAGAGGATCACTTGAGCCCAAGAGTTTGAGGTTGCTGTGAGCTGTGACACCAGGACACTCTACCTAGAGCAACAACGTAAGAGTGGGAGTCACCATGATTCTCAATTTTCTAAGTTCTTAGAACTTAAGCAGAGATGGAAAAAACTCATTTCAACTGAATTAGGGTAAGGGAGGAAGAGAGGCAGAATAAGCTTTTTTTTAATTAAAAAATAGTAGTGAAGCAGCATGTTTATATCTGAACAGTAAATGGCTTATAATCCTAGCACTTTGGGAAACCAAAGCAGGAGAATCACTTGAACCCCAGAGTTCAAGGCCAGCCTGGGCAATAGCAAGACTCCATCTCTATAAAAAAAAAAACAACAACTGGCTAGGCCTGGTGGTGGCACATGCCTATAGTGGCTGAGGCAGGAGGATGGTTCAAACCCAGGAGTCTGAGGTTGCAGTGAACTATGATGATAGCACTGCAATCTAGCCCAGGAGGCACACTAAGACCCCATCTCAAAAAAACAAAACAAGCAAAATAAAATAGTAAGTGACTAAGTCACTTCATACACGGTAACACATATGCCAACAACCCAAGACACAATCTGAAAAGCACAGATGCATAAAGGTGCATTTGCCAATGGAAGAATTCTTTCAGTCAGGAAGCAACTCAAAAGAATTCTTACTTTCACCAATGCAATAAAACCATTTTCTATTTAGTGTCAATCAGTTCTGTTCTGGACTCTTCACACACCATCTCTCATCTATTAACAAAAGAGAGGGCAGCACCTGTGGCTCAAAGGAGTAGGGCGCGGGCCCCATATGCCGGAGGTGGTGGGTTCAAACCCAGCCCTGGCCAAAAACTGCAAAAATATAAAAAATAAAAATAAAAATACTGGTTAAAAAAAAAGAAAGAAAAAAATATCTTCTTCTTTTTATATTTTTATCTCACGAAATCTATCGTGGTTTTCGAGGTTTGAATTATGTAATTTGTACTTTGTAATCACCCTATAGTCAAATGAAATAAGACAACCCATGGTACTTTAAAAACTCACATTCAGGTGGCACCTGTGGCTCAAGTGGCTAAGGCGCCAGCCACATACACCTAAGGTGGCAGGTTCGAATCCAGCCTAGGCCAGCCAAACAACAATGATGGCTGCACCAAAAAATAGCCAGGCGTTATGGCAGGCGCCTGTGATCCCAGCTACTTGGGAGGCTGAGACAGGAGACTGACTTGAGCCCAGGAGTTGGAGGTTGCTGTGAGCTGTGATGCCATGGCACTCTACCCAGGGGGACAGCTTGAGGCTCCTGTCTTTAAAAAATAAAAATAAAAAACTCACATTCATAGGCAGTTAGCTCAGTGGGTAGGGTGCCGGCTACATACACCAAGGCTGGCAGGTTCAAACCCAACCTGGTCCAGCTAAAACAACAATGGCAACAAAAAAATAGCTGGGTGTCGTGGTGGGCACTTGTAGTACCAACTATTTGGGAGGCTGAGGCAAGAAAATCACTGAGCCCAAGAATTTGAGGTTGCTGTGAGCTGCAATGCCATAGCACTCTCCCGAGGGTGACATAATAAGACTCTGTCTCAAAAACAAAAAATGCACATTCATACATTAAATAGTATACCCTCTTTCATAAGTAAAATTTGGTCTTTGATACATCACCTAAGAAACATGATTTCAAGGTATTTTGTAGTGGTGCTCCCAGCTAGGAAGAGGGTCTTTGCTAACTGATAGTCACAGGAGAGCACCATATAAGCCCAGGAAAACCCTATTCCCCACAGACCTTCCCACTCCATCCTTCTCCCTTTCTGACAAAACGAAGAGGCCCTGTGAAACCCTCGTTTCCTCATCTAAGCAGAGCTACAATAAATACAGAATAATCTCTTACCCACCCCAACCTCTTTTTGACTACCTAAATGGCATATGTTCTTTATTTCCCACCTTTGTCATTCATCGTAACCCCATTGCCTATTTCTCAGCAGGTCATTTTGTCCTACAACGGCCAGGCAGAAGAGTCAGCTAGCTGAGTACCCAGGACTTGTGTGATAGCAAAAACAAACTAGGAAACAAGGTCTACCAGACTGTAATGGTTTTGATCTTTGGGAAAGGATTTCTCCCTAATCTACATCACCTAATAACATATAAGGCTATCATTCAACATTGACACGTTCCACAACACCTAAAAGTTACAGATTGCTTTTATTTATACTTCCTATTTGATAATACGAAACATACTAAAACAAAGCAAGAACATAAAATCACAGGATCAGGAAAGACTATACTAAATTCAATTACTTTTCCAACTATTTGCCAAGAGATATTTTATAATGTAACAACAATTTGGCAGTAGAAAATAAACTATCACCAAGGCAATGACTCATGCCACTAACTCCAGCACTTTGAAAGCCAAGACGGGAGGACTGCTTGAGGTCAAGAGTTCAAGACCAGACTGAGTCTGGACAACATAGTGAGATCCTGCCTCTACAAAAGAATTTTAAAAATCAGCCAGGCATAGAGGTGCCCACCTGTAGTCAGAGCCACTCAGCAGGCTGAGGTGAGAGGATCACTTGAGCCCAGGAGTTTGAGGCTGTAGTAAGTTATAATTGTACCATTGCATTTGAGTGTGGCTGACAAGAATGAGACCTTGTCTCAAGAGAAGGGAAAGGAAGGGCTGGAGCAGGGAGAAGCTATCACTCAATAACTATTTCAGTAGATTTTTATTCTCTATTCTGTGTAAATGAACAGAAAATAAATTTTAATGGTCAAGTAAACCACAGATCACACCATCATAGTTTTACATTCTGTATATGCTCCTCTAATAATACACAAACACACACAAACATGCCATGCCATTCAACTGACTTTAAATACTGAAAGGTTCCCCATGATTAAAACCATGTAGAAGAGCTAACAGCAAAGGGGAAAGAAAAATCAATGAACTTCACAGCCCACATCCCAGAAAAATGATTAAATACAACAGAAAAACAGAACTTAAGATAATAAACTGATACCAAAAACAAGATGGTTACAGTAACTGAGGTACCTTTTAGCACTAGTTGACAATTTAGCAGCAGTTTTGCTGGATATTTTTCCCTCCTTTTTCTTGGGCTGAACTTGCTCTCTTTCTGGTTCTTGCTGAACACTTTCACGTTGGTCTCCATCGGAACTTCCTCCACTAGTGCTTGGGCTGTCATCAACTCTTTGTGCCTCAGTGGACATTTTAGATCCTGCATTAAAGAATAAAAAATTATTCAGCTGTGAGGAGGACTACTGTAAAGTACCTCAACAATAGAGAGAAAGTGAGCCTCAAAGTAGAACAAGTAAAACTCAATATAAAATGGATAAGTTGACCGTTTACAAAACAAACAGCTTTAGGAACTGCTATAACTTTTCTTTCCTCCATTCAAAATGTACTGTGAAATAAAAAAACATGAAAAATTTATACACAAAATTTCACAGCAACATTATTTATAATACCCAAATAGTAGAAACAACTCAAACGTCCCTTAACTGATGAATGGATAAACAAATTGTAATAGATCCACATAATGGACTATTACTTCAACATGAAAAGTCGAATAAAGTACAGTAGCTACATGTTACAAAATCAATGAGCCTTCAATGGTTATGGTAAGTGAAAGAAGCTAGCCACGAAGGACCACAAACTGTATGATTCCATTTATACGAAGGGTCCAAAATAGGTGAATACATAGAGACACAAAAGTACATAGTGGTTTCCAGAGGTTAAGAATGAAAGGAGAATGAGGAGTGACTGCTAATAGGCATGAAGTATGCTTTGGGAACGATAAAAATGTTCTAAAATTAGGTAACGATGATGTTGCACAACTCTGTAAACATACTAAAAACCACAGAGTTAAATACATTTTTAAAGGGTGAATTTTAAAGTATATGAATTACATCTCCATATGCTATTATAAAAAAGGAAGTAAAAAATGACTGAGGACCTACTTTCTACCAAGCACTGTACTAAGAACTGCCAGAAATTTGGACTAGTAGGCAAGCAAACTTGCTTAGTATCCTAAGAGTGGTTAGTACAAATGGCCACAAGAACAGAAAAACAGGAGGACACTTTCAAGTCAATACATCGTCAGATCTGAGCTGAGGTTAAAATCTTCTAAACCAGCAAATTTATTTTAACTAACCTTTGTTATAACAGAATACAGAGGCCTGAATGATTCTAAATAAAAACTGAAATATATGATAGCAAATCCAGCTACATGCTAAGTAACCATGTTTCACAAAAGATAGAGACTATATTGAGACGCTGAAAAATTCATTTTTTTCCAGTCTAGATGAAATATCCCTCAAGGCTTTCAAATTCCCTTTGCTCTAAGTTCGTGCTCCCCAAGCAACTCTGATTACCAACTCAATTTCCTCAGTACTTTGATGCCTACCCTAGGTTGCTATTAGAACCTTAGAGAGCAGACAGAAAAAATTCCAGTAAGTGAAAGGAATATTCCTTCTCAACTGTTATCATAATCAATTTCTGAGTCTGATTACTATAAATACAACCCTTATGACCCAACTAGCTTATAACGACGCTCTAACAGATCCAGAACAGACAAAACCCGTATCCAAACTCTAAAACGCCCATGTGCTCACCATGGTACTGTTACCTAATCACCACTTGCAGTAGTACCACACAGCTACCTTCTCGTATACTTCTTCAAAAAACAAAACTACTGGCTCAGCACCTGTGGCTCAAGTGGTGAAGGCGCCAGCCACATACACCTAAGGTGGCAGGTTCAAATCCAGCCCAGGTCCGCCAAACAACAACGGCTACAACCAAAAAATGGCCAGGTGTTGTGGTGGGGGCCTGTGGTCCCAGCTACTTGGGAGGCTGACGCAGGAGACTCGCTTAAGCCCAGGAGTTGGAGGTTGCTGTGAGCTTTGATGCCATGGCACTCTACCCAGGAGGACAGCTTGAGGCTCTGTCTCAAAAACAAAAAAGAAAACCACAGAACTACCTATGTTTAAGAAGTACTATTAACAACACAAAATATGCCTTGAAAACTCATAGGTAATTTGAACAACTTCTTTCAAAAAGGATACTTTTAATTACTCAAATTCAAACTTGAAATAACACTTTTTCTAGTATCAGAAGAATAGGCGATAGATACTTTAAGGCAAAAATTTTTATTACTATAATTTCGTTAAATGGATAGCTAGCTGATACTGATAAAAATTCATCATCACCAAAGATTTAACTAACTTGTAGCTTCCTCTAACCAAAATAATTTTGTAATGAAGATCTTTAGGGCCTGGTATTTTTACGGTAAGACAAACCAAAAAAGCACTATAAAAGAATGGAAGAATCAGAAAGCACAGAGAGGTAAACATGCAATAGAAAATACCAAACGTCTATATCCACACACCACCCACCCTCCTCTCAACCCCACCAACTCCCTTCCCCCTTGACAAACAAAAACAGGTGTGCCGAAACAGCTCTGAAACACACCGATGGGAACTGTACTTTTCTACCTATTCTGTAAATGTAGATCATCAGTCTCTACAGTGACATCTTTCATGAGCACTTAAGTCACGTAATAGAATACAGAAATTTTATATCAGTATGTTTTATGTCTACTTCTAAACGTCCTAATATTTCTACTTTTTTTATTTTTATTACACTTTAAATTCTCATTCTTAGATTTAACATTTGTTTTTTCAGCTTCTTTCAGTTAAAATATATGAGAAGGTTAAAACCTTATATGTACACAATAGCTTATTAGATACACTGGATATGCACTGGAGTCAGAAAGAGCACAATTCTCAGGGAAAGATGCTCAGATATACCAAAATGCTGTCAGCAATATTTTAAGAAATGTGAAATGAGTAAGACTCAGTTTATATATTTTAAGCCAGAAAGAATTCATCAGGTGACAAATATACGGGAACCTTAATGAAATAATATTCTTACACTGAGGCTGTGGCTTCAGTTTAATGAAGTATGATTAAATTATGTGGAGAGTTTCAGTTGCGTATGGTATTAGTTATAAAGCTACACACTCTTCTCTGTATTTATGTGCATTTACATACTAATAATGCTATTGTATGATCATTTAGAAAAGATTATTCAGTGATGTAATCTGAGCCATAATCTGAAACCAAATTTCATAAACTACTGCAGAAAATCAGAGGAAAACTAAAGTAAAAATCAGTCTCACTAGAGAACTATTAAAAATACTATTTTAACTGGACAAAGAGGCATAATTTCTATAGGTTCACAAAAAAGAAAACAATGTATTTTCACTTTTGACCTATGATATCTTATTTCATCCAAATCCTAATCTGTAAATAATCATTGATTACTACAGAAACTTTTAGAAATAAGGTTTTCATTTCTTTTTCAAATATCAATAAACAGAATTTCTACTGATTTTGTTTTTTGAATGCCTAATTACAGAACAAGTATAGGGAAAAAAATGTTGCATTCAGTTGCCACTAATTTTTATGAAAACAAAGTCTATAAACCATTTTAATTAGTTATAAGTAGCAAGTTGCTGTCTTGTCTCTCTAAAATACAAATGAATAAAAATTTCTGAATTGTAACTCTTTAAACATTATTTTCTAAATTACCATTTTAAAACTATCTTTAAAAGTAATTCCTAAATAACTAATTTGATCCAGTCATCTAATTTATAGGGAAAATAAATTGAAACCCCTGGGTTACAAACACAAGCGCTACTTTCCAATGATATTTTCAAAGACAGTGAGATATATAAATCGATATGTTTACTTCAAACTCAAAGTAAAACTTGGCTTTTAAACATAAAATAGAAACGTAGTCCTTCCTAAAATATGTATTAAGAGTTTAAATATTATGCTTTCTTCAGCCCACCAATTGTCTAAGCTTGTATTAGCTATGTACTCTAAGGTGTAACTATAGTCCTAGAAATTAACAACATATACTGAATGAAACTCACCTGTTCAATAAAAATGAAATTATTTGACTTTAAATATTACTGATAACATAAAAGCAACTATAGTCTCTCCATAAATCCAGTTTACTATCCAGATAAGCCTTACAATAGTAACTAATAGTATAAAACTGCAAAAACAAGTGTTCGTTTGAGCTTTTATAACAAGAAACCGTTTAATTCTGTCGTGTTATCTTGCTGTCATCCTACTCAACAGTTCTAACTTTTCTAAGGTATAAAATAAAGTAATTCATATTATATGCACATTATCTGGCAACATCTAGCTTTAAACTTAACTGTAAAGGTATTTATGCACAACATAATAGTGGAACACTTTATTCTAGAGCAAAGGGTGCTGTAGGAGAGACAGTGAGGTATGATATTATACATGAAAACACTCTCTTCAGCATCGGTCCACTTACGGAACTCCAAGGAGCCAAGGAGCAGCTACCTGAGTAAAGGCAAATATTTAGATTCTCAAGGTCCAGTCTGAATTATCACATTTTCAGAAATACTTTTTAAAGAGTCAGGGATTAAAAACTAAGAAGAGCTTAAAATTTTTCTGAACCGCGAGATCATCTGAGAATAAACCCTAGCACCTCCTTTAGTACTTTTAAATAAAATCTTTTGGGTGGACTCTCAAGAATACACAATACAAAACGAAGAATCCTGAAAACATGCAAATAGGTCTAACAGCCACCGAGCACAGGATGATGTCTTTCTAAAGCGGCCTTAATTTCCTCAAGGGAAGATGGATTGGACATTTCTGGTTGGATGTGAAGGAAAAGGCCACAAGAAGCCACGCTTTATCTTCATTAGAAATGGTAAAGGGCAAAAGGATGAAAACATTATTAGAGAATAAGAGAGGAGAAGAGGAAAGAGAAGTGAGGAGGGGGTAAGCGGGAGAGAACAGAGGGAATCCAGTTTCAAACCAGGCCAGGGGGGGCTGCAGAGGAGAGACCAGAGAAAAATGGGCTTCGTTGCCAAACTGTGACAAGCGCCAGGAATCACAAAAGACCGATACAACACACACCCCACACCAGAGCACATACAAATTACACCCCACAAGGTCTTCTCCCGGCGGGCCACCGGGGTGCGGCGGCGGAGCCAGACCTGCCACTCGCCAGGAGAGACACCATGTGCAGCAATTATGCAATTAGGGAAAATAGCAAAAGATCATGCCGGGCACTTTCTACCGTGACATTTATCCTGTACTTTTGCAAAGACTTAGTTCCAGGATGCGGCTGGGAGAGGACAGGGGCTGGGAGGGTGGAGAGAGATGGGGAACTGAGAACGAAAGAGGGTAGAAGAAGGGCAGGAGAGGGAAGAGGCGGGGGAGGGGATGGGAAGGAGGGGGAAGGGTAGAAAGGGCGAGAAACGGGGGCAGGAGGCTCGCGGGAGGCGGCGCAGAGAACAGGCACGCCGGAGAGCGAGGAAGGGGGGAACTAGGGCGCGAGCGGTGTAAGCAGAGACCTGCGGCGCGGAGGGGACCTGGGGGGAGTGAGGAGAACGCCCGCGAGAGGGAGGACGCCCGAAGACGGGAGGCACGGGCACGGCCCGAGCGAATACCTGAAAGAGGGGTGTCCCTGCAGGTCGCAGGCTCGAACCAAAGCCCGGGAGAGAGGGCTGCCGAGGCGCAAGGGAGGAGGAGGACGGGGGAGGCCCCAGGGACGAGATGTCCCCCGCGGACCGTCTAGTCACCGAAAGCCGGACCCACGCACCACGCACCCGACCACGCCTGTCCCCTCCGCGCTCGCGCCCGCCCAGACTCACCCTCAGCGCTTCCGCTGCCGCCGCCCCCGGCCGTTCCAGCTCTGGCTCCGGAGGCTGCTGCCCAGGGCTGCCGCTGTGGCTGCCCCTGAGTCTAGGAAAGTGAAGCCACCACCTCCAGCAGCCGCCGCCGCCCGGCCGTCCGCGCGCGCGCCCGCAGCTGCGCGTGCCCGCCCGCCAGCCCGGGAGAGACCGCGAGAGCGCGAGCCCCACGTCGGCCGTGCGGCGCCGCGCGCCTCCCTCAGCTCCCCCCGCCCCTCCTCCGCCGGCGCGTGGCCGCGAGGGGGCGGGGGCGGGCACGCGCACGGGCAAGTTGCCCCGTCGGCTAGGAGAGGGGCGGGGGCGCGGCGCCGAAAAGTAAAGTGACAGCCGGGTCCTGTGCGCAGGCTGGGCCGTTGCGGAGGGTGGGGCGAGGGTCGTCCCACGGGGTAGGGTCGGCAAAAGTGGGGGAAACCGAGGCTGAAGGAACGGCTTGAAGAGATGGGACGCGGGGACCTTGACGGGCACGCGCATTAAAGGGAAATGCCGGATGGGGCGGGGGTTTGCCTCTAAAGGCAGGGGGCGGTGGGCGGGGGAAAGCCTTCTACCCCACCACCACCAACTCTAGCTCTTAACACTCGCCCCAGAGCTTTCCCATAACAGCTACAGGGCTGATCCTATTAACACACCGGCCCAAACTTGGGGACGTGTGGTGCCCACATGCACCCAACGTAGAACTTCACATTGCCCTTGAAAGTTCGCCCAAGCTAAGCCCGACACTGCAGCACCGAAGTCCTGCTTTTTTGCTCGGCTAGTCCAAGAATGCACACCAGCTGGTGGCAAGGCGTTCCAGGCCATTTAGACCCGGGATACTAGAGAGAGGGGAGAGGGGACGGAAGTGTAGCGTTAGGTACAGAGCCGGTGGGAAGCTGCTTTAGTGCCCACTTGAAGCGTATGGGCAGCAGCAGCAGCACTGTGAGTGCCCTGAGGGAACATTAGCTTTTTCTATAAGTTTTACCCGAATGACCATTCTTTTTTTAAAAACCGTACCTGTTTTGCAAATTCATCTTCCACAAAATTTCCCCTATCCTACCTCCAGCCTCTTACCAATGGAGTGCTTGAGATTCTGGCTATACGTGGAAAAGTTGTCCTGCCTAGACAGGGCTGAAGACAAAACCCCACCAAGGAAAGAGATAGACCTAATTCACTTGAACATAACCTACTCACATACATAGTTAGATGTGGAAAATAAGCCTACTAGGTGCCCTGAACCTAGCATGGGGTAATGAGCAGAGCTGAGAGCAACTTAAGCAGCCTAAAGAAATCAGTGCAATAAGATCGGAACACAGGAGCAAGTCAGGAGCCGCGCACATGTCTGGAACTGAAAATTCTTTAATCAAACGCCTTCGTGAAGAACTGACTGTTAGCTTTATATCATCTGTGAAAATTCCCTCAAAAAAGTATTGGCACCTAACCTCTGTAAATCACCATGGAGCAAAAACTGGATGCATTTTTGTGAATCGTTTCTATGTGTCACTCAAGACATTATCAGCAGGCCCCGTGACCCTTGAACTCCTATATTGGAGGCTTACAAATTAAAATATCCCAGGATCATCAATTTTATAGCCACCTATATCTTTCACATGGTGCAATATACTAGTAGGCATGCTATGTTTGTAGGAAAAGAGGAAATAAAATGTATCATATTTGCTTTTTAGTATTTAGAATATGACTAAATAGACCCTTTCGTAGATGGACATAAATGTGTATATAATTTATTTTACCTCATAAACCTCTACATATTATCATTTTCATTTTACTGATTGTGTTTTAATAATATGTAAAGATAAAAGCCTCCTGTGTGTTTTGCAACTCTGTAGTGACGATAGAGGACAGAATCTCCATTTCCTAGGTCTTTATGCTAGTCTCCAAATAAACTATACTATGTAAAGATTTTATTTACTCTCTTCTCTATATCTCCTGTTGATTTTTTGTTTATTAACAACAAATATTTTATAACAAATGTTCTTCAGTTACAAAAAGTATCAAAGTTGTTTGTTAGTCATTGATCATTGTCCACCGGGCTAGGGATGCAGCAATGTCAACTTCTGTCTTTGTGGAAAGGATTGGAACAGGTTTCAATGCTTAATTGCTAAAACCATGGTTGCTACAGTACTTAGTTTTTCTATAGATGTTTTAACTGCTATTTAGTATTTAAGTTCAAAATCAGTACAAATCAGAGTTACAATTTTATTTATTCAAGGAATGTTTATCCATTTCTTCCCATCCTCCTCCCCACTGCTAATGGTCCAAGCCACCACCATCTCTCAATTAATAGTCTCCTACCTGATCTTTCGGCTTCCTACTGTCTATCTTCCACACATACATACACACACACAGAGCAGTCTGAATGGTCCTTAGATTATGTCTCTCCTTTCCTCAAACATTCCAATGGTTTTCCATGCTAGAGTGACAGCAAAAGTTATTACAATTGCTATTAATACATTTCCCTGCATGGGGCTGGAATGCTGTGGCTCACGCCTATAATCTTAGCACTCTAGAAGGCCCAGGTGGGTGGATTGCTTGAGTTCAGCAGTTCAAGAGCATCCTGAGCAAAAGCGAGACTTCATCTCTAAAAATAGCAGGGCATTGTGGCAGGTGCCTATATTCCCATCTACCCTGGAGGCTGAGGCAAGAGGGTCTCTTGAGTCCAAAGAGTTTAAGGTTGCTGTGAGCTACGATGCCATAGCACTCTACCAAGGTAATGAGTGAGACTCTATCTAAAAAAAAAAAAAACCCTGCATAATCTGCCTGCTGCCCCCAACCCTTCTGACCTCACATTGTACAATTTTAGCCCATACTCATCCCCTTCCAACCACACTATCTTTGCTATTATAGAATATATCAAGCGTTCTTCAGCCTCACTTATGTACATGTTATTTCCTAGCTCTAAAACATTCTTCTCTCCCACCCTTCTCCAAAACTTATCCCCTTCCTCTGCTTCATTTTTCCCTAGGATCATCATCTAACATATTTTTTGCTTGTTTATCCTCGTCTGTCCTTTCTTCTAGTTCCTTCTTCCTTCTTCTTCCCCCCTCACAATATAAAAGCACTTTGAGAAAAAGGATTTTCAATGTTGGTTGATTGAATAAAATTGATCTCATTCAGTTGATGACATAATAGAGAAGTAGTTTTAATTTCTTTAATAGTAATAATTAGCACTTACTGTATCATTAATTTATACTAGGCAACATACCAAGCACTTTACCCATACTAGGTCATGACCACTATATGACTTGGTTTCATCCAGTCAACCCCACTATAAAGATGAGAATACTGAGGTGCATAGAGATTAAGTCACTTCCCTCCAGTCACACAGCTAGGGAGGAACAGAATTGGGATTTGAAATCAGTAGTTTGGCTCTGGAATCTGAACTCGGGATAGTTTACCATGAGTTCAATGTTACAAACATAGATTTTTATTTGATATTTCTCAGTTTCTCTACCCTGAGACACAAACTTGGTGTCCAAGACAAATAGTTCATCTTCCTTATATTTCCTACTCTGGTTCATCAATCTGCCGTCATGAACTCACTCTCTCTCCTTTCTTCCATTTTTTACTGCTGGGCATCGATATAGAGGCAATATTTTTCCCCCCCTAGAACTGGCAAATGGGAATGTTTTTTAAGGGTCCTCATTATAACTTTGTTACTGCCAACTTCATGAGTTGGTTGAGTCAAAATTAGTTTTCTAGTTTGAATGGGGGCAGGGTGTGGGACCTGGGCTGGATTTCAGCAGAAAGCATCACAGTGGTAGAGCCCTGCTGCTTGTTTAAACAGCTTCCATTCTTGTTAGGCACTCAGTGATCAGGAGTTATTAAATATTTGGATTGTACCTCCTGAAAGAAATATCATATTAGTTCACGATTACCAAAGATTAGGACCTTGAGAGAATGGGATGGAAAACAATGATCTTTTCTTACAAATTTGGCTTTCCAGAGGCTGTAGGCACACCTCATTGTCTACTAAAGTACTGACACAAAGGTACAGACTAGGTGCTTAACAATTGTTTGTTGCATAAAGAAATGAATGAATTTCCAACAGGGTATGGAAAGAGTACTGAGGACAAAGTCTCCTGACTTTCTCACTTAGTCAGGAATTGCTACCTGGACCAGCATGTACGATTGTGGTACACACTGCAGAATGTCAAGGGGAGCCATTTATACATAGTATAAATTAAGATGTGACCACAGAAGTGTAGCTGCTCCTCTGACTCCTGGCCCCTGCCCAAGTATGATAGTCAGTCTCTAAGATGGCTCTTAATAATCCCTGCTCCGGGTACTCACATTCTTTTGTAATCCTCTCCCACATCGTACCAAAGTTGGTACAATGCTGAGAGCTGATGGTATGTCACTTCTTAGATGAGTGCATAACAGATATTAGGCTTCCATCTCGCTTGTGTGTCCACTCTCATGCTATATCACGTGCACGCTCTCTCTCTCACCACTCACTCTGGAGAAGCTGGCTGCCTTATTGTGGGCAGCCGTATAGAGAGGCACATATGGCTAGAAAACAGGTCTCCTGCTAACATGCACATGAGTAAGCTCAGAAGCAAATCCTTCAGCCTCAGCTAAGCCTTCAGCCCTGATAACATCTTATCTGCAACCTCATGAAAGATCTTGAGCCAGAAACCCTGGCTAAGCCATTCTTTTTTTTTTTTTTGAGACGGAGCCTCAAGCTATCCCCCTGGGTAGAGTGCCATGGCATCACACTCACAGCAACCTCCAATTCCTGGGCTCAAGCGAGTCTCCTGCCTCAGCCTCCCAAGTAGCTGGGACTACAGGCGCCCGCCACAACGCCCGGCCACTTTTTTTTTTGGTTGCAGCCATCATTGTTGTTTGGCGGGCCCGGGCTGGGGATTCGAACCCGCCACCTTAGGTGTACGTGGCTGGCGCCTTAGCCACTTGAGCCACAGGCGCCGAGCCGCTAAGCCATTCTTAAACCTTGAGATGATATTTGTTGTTTTCAGCCACTAGGTTTTGAGGGTGATTTGTTATGCAGCACTAGATAATTAATAACCGTGATCTCTGCTCACTAACAATGAAATTCCCCCTCAAGTCCTCCACATATCAAGCATGCAGCTGCTGGGGTAGTTCCTACAGGGCAAGGAGGCCCACTCACTCCTGAAAGGGGATGTTACATATACCTTCCCAGTAACACAAACAGAGATATAGGTAAAGGGTCTGAAAAAAGAT